CAGTGATTTTGCTTTCCCAAGAGACTGGCAGAACCCTTGTTAAAATCTTCTCAACTTTGTCTTCTTCAAGGATAATCCTTCAAAGAGACTTAAGTTCATTTGTCAGTGTGGTGAACCTTGTATACATCTCTTGGATGGTTTCTCCTTCCTTCATGGTGAAATTCTCATATTGAGAATACAGCAGTGTTCCTCTGGACCTCTTCACTTGAGATGTTCCTTCATGAGCCACTTGCAAAGTGTCCCAGATTTCCTTAGCGGTGGTACAACTTTGAATTCTACTGTACTCATCTGGACCTAGTCCATACACAAGCCATTTCTTGGCCTTGGCATTCTTTTCCCACTTCTTCAGGTCTTCAGCAGTGCAGTCAGCTCTTGTCTTTGGCACATCCACTCCTTCCTCATTCTTCTTTGTAGTTGCCAAAGGACCATCAGTGACTATGCCCCAGAGTTCATAGTCCTCTCCTATGATATGATCTCTCATCCTGTTCTTCCACCAGGAATAGTGCTGACCATAGAAGAGTGGAGGCCTAGCAGTGGATTGCCCTTCCCAGTTCCCAGGTGGTGCACTCATGTTGATCTTTTCCTAAGGTGTTAGCCTCTTCAAGGATAAACCGCTCTGATACCAATTGATGTTCTAAACGTCAATACCACACAAGAGGGGGGAGGGGGGGTGGTGATTTGTGTGGTACCCAATTTTCGCTCTAGAAGAACCTGGTTCTTCTAGGTGTACTAACTACTACTGTTTGTGGAATAACAAGTACATAAAATAAAGAACACAGAGATTTTTACGTGGAAAACACCTGGCTCAAAAGGTGAAAAAACCACGACCTACTACCTAGTAGGATTTTCCCAAACTTCCACTAATATCACTGAGCCAAAACAGCATTTACAAAAACTCTTTGTAAACCTAAGGATTAACTCTAATCCCGTTGTAGCACAAAGCCTCAACTGTTGCGACAACTTCAAGTTAGCATATAACTTGAACACTCTAAGTACCTAATACAATTGCTTCTATGAAAGCTGAAAGGTACAATTTTAAACCACCTACTACAATTGAACTAGAACAAAAGAAAGACACAATGGAATTGGTTCTTCTATCTCGTTCAAGTAGCTTCAGGAGTGCACACTCAAATCTCACATAAATTGCTTGCAAAATCACCTTGCTCTTTTGCTCTTAATTTAGTTTAACTTCTGCGTTTGTGCAATACCTGCAAAAAAGAACAATCACTGTCTTTTAATAGGTTAGTAATCAGAGTTTGATTGGGACTCAATTGCTGATCTTCTATCGTAGTTGAGTCCTTGAAGATCTCAAACTCCAACACTATCTTTATCCGGATTGTGCTCTCTTCATATAAGGAGACTTTCTCCCCTTATCCAATATGCAACCTTTTCGATCAGATCAGGAGATATTGCTGCTTGATTAGTAGGACTTATCTCCTTCACGTGCATCTCACATGTATAGGTTGATCATGACTGTGCTTCACACGATGGACCTGGTCCATAACTGAGTTCATTTGTCATTCTTCAATACTTCACCTGTTCTTGGGTCAACACTCTCTTTTAATATATTATTTCAAGCTTGACTTAGAACTTTTGAATGGTAAAATATGTTTTATAGCCCATAAAAGTTAGTAACTCAAATAAATCCTAAAGCAAAATCAAATCAATACTAATGCTAACTGAAAAAATTCAATTCAATACTAGAAATGATAATAGTATTGGATATTTATTTTTTTGGTTTTGCATTGATTTAGATAGTGAAAATGCATAACTCACATTTAATATTATTTAGTCATGTAATTAATACTTAGTACTTATTAGTCGTACTTATTTCAACATGACTTTGTACTTTTAGATTATGTGTATTTTTATTATGGCTTATTAATTAGCAGTATTTATCTTATGCGAATTGTTGAGTATTTTAGTATAATTATGACTCATCTCACATTATTTTGTATTATTTTATTTGGTAACATCTTATATCGTTTTATCCTACTAGGACCTAAGAAATATTACAACACAAATTATAAATTTTATGTTATGAAGATTGTGTAGGAAAAAAATTCGAGAAAACCGAAAAACCCGAGAAAAACCATGATTGGAAAATCCGACTTTTTTTGGTTTGATTTGGTTTATAAATTTAAAAATTCGAGACAATTGGTTTGGTTTGGTAATTGAAAAATTCGAACTAACCTGGCCTATGTACACCCCTACATCTGATGATTTGGATATGAATGATTATCAGGAATAAATATTTCGTTATTGAAAGTATAAATATTATTTTTAAAATCATAATACTACAATAACAATAATATATTCAGTAGTCTAAGAAAAGTAGTGAACACGCAACCTTACTCCTACCTTTATACAGGTTGAGAGGCGGTTTCCTATAGATTCGGGTTAAAACTAACATGCATAATCACAACAATATAGAGGAAGACACACAATTTTCAAAATCATAATCGAAGGAAATTTTATTACTTCCTAAATACAGTATTTTTATAAAGAGTGCACAGTATTTACCCATGGAAAAAAGATTGGTTATGATAGAGAGGAGAAAGAAGAGCAGGATGGAGTGGGTGGATGGGACAAAATGAGAGCAGAGATGGAAAACAAAATATGGATTTTGGGATTATTTGTGAATACTGCCAATAGTGTGGTGGATTTTTAACACTCCGTTTGGATCATTGTTCCCCATCGTTTTATAATGTATTGTATCGTATCGTTTTATGAATACAATGTTTGGATAGATGGTATTGTTTGTTATTGTTAAATAATATTTTGCTGTTTTAGTTTGACTGTATCGTACTGTACTATAACTGATAAGTTTACTAAAATACCCTCAATTGTTTAAATATTAAATTTATCAAAAAGTATGCATAAAAATAATTTTAAAAAATAAAATAGAAGAAGGCAAAACACCTTAAGAAAACAGAACAAAGGAGCGAGACAGAAGAAGGCAAACCAAAGGAGCACAACTAAGTAGAATTGAGTTAAAAGCAAATTAGGAGAAAAAGAGAAAAAATAAAACAGAAGGCAACAAAACACCTTTAACGTTGGCGGCAGAAGTTTTAGAAAAAAAGAAAGTAGGTCATAGGTTGGAGATTTGAAGTTAAAATAGCAAAAAAGCTAAAGGGTAAAATAGAATTGTGGAGTAATAAGTTAGGGCATAATTGGAAAGAAAAATAGGAAACAATCTCACCACACCTAATTGGTGTTTCAAAAAAGGGGACTTTTCATTGTTCCGGAACAATGAATTTAACAATACAATACAATCAATTTTAATGAAACAATCAAAACAAATATTATTTTGGGATAACAATACAATACGATACAACGGGGAACAGGCATCCAAACAAGCTGTAAAGCTAATAGACAATTTTTAAACTTAAATGGTCCTTAAAGATTTTGGGTAGGTTAATTTTCGTCTCTAGTATACTATCTTTAACATACATAAATCTATAAATTTGAAAATTAGGCAATTTTAGTCCGATTGATGAAACATCCAAACAGAACATTAAAAACTAACGAAGCGTCGAGTGTATATTAGAGTAAAGAACGATCGTAATAAAGGGAATAAGCTCAGCTTTAATGGTCGATGCTCCAATAGTACTCAATATAGCTCTTGATACTTCAGTTATACCATTAAAATTTTAAATGCTTCATCTTTGAACAGAGTCAAAATTAAAATTAGACAAGAAATCTCCAACCGCAAAAGCTATGTAGTTTGGACACGTAAAAAATATACTCCGTATAACATTTCTTTAGGTTTAAATTGTCCATTAAAGGGTACCGTACATTTCATTTGCTCTAAATTCTAAGAATTTCACCAATTAGACAAGAATATATATATATATATATATATATATATATATATATATATATATATATATATATATATATATATATATATAGATATATTAGAAAAGACCTAAAAATGACACTCAATTAACATAAATAGTCTATCTATGTCATCCGTAAAAGGCCCCTATTCATGCCACTAACGTTATACTTTTAGCCTATTTATGCAATTGTCGACTAACATTTCCATTTTCTGGTTTTTAAATAATAAGAATTATTTTTTCGACCCCAGCTTTGCTACGTGTCTTTATATTACTGGTTCTTCTTCACTTGACCCTTCATTTCTTTTAACCCTGATTATGTATAATTAACCATGCCCAACCCGATAAAATCCAACCATCTTTTAACCCAACCCCTAGTTCCTTGTCACGAAAAATTCAACTAGTCGTGATGGTACCTAACCCAACCCGCTAGGTAAGCCAATTAACAACTATCCAATTTAATGAGATTTTTTTAGATAAATAAATGATAAAATAACTGAACCTTAATACTTTTCCCAAGGACTGGTAGTACAAATCATGAGCTTCTAAGATTTAGATTTTTACAAACTGAATTGAAATAAACACAACATCGGTTTCAAATAAATACAAATCACTGAACGCTGATCTTATCGGGTCGTGACAAGGAATTAGCGGTTGGGTTAAAAGATGGTTGTATTTTATCGGGCTAGGCATGGTTATTATACATTTTATCAGGGTTAAAAGAAATGTAGGGTAAAGTAAAGAAGAACCAGTAATATAAAGACACGTGGCAAAGGTGAGATCGAAAAATTAATTCTTATTATTTAAAAATCAGAAAATGGAACTGTGAGTTGACAATGGCATAAATAGGTCAAAAGTATAATGTTAGTGGCATAAATAGGCCAAAAGTACAACGTTAATAGCATGAATAGGTCGACCCTTTAACGGATGGCATAGGTAGGCCATTTATGTTAGTTGAGTGACATTATATATATATATATATATATATATATATATATGTATATAGTTCTTTTAGGAAAAGATTATGTAGTGTAGTATATGTTTAATGCAAGGACGAAAATAGACTTATCCAAACTTAAAGGATCATTTTGGTTAAAAACTACAAAACATAATCTGCAACCTGCTATATTGTTGCCTCCTTTGTCTTCTTTTGCGCCTTCTCTTCTTAATTTCTTCTTGCTTAAATAATCTTCCTTTGTGTACATATATTCAACCTCTCCTACCACTTTTTTTCTCTAACCCTCCTTCCCTCCTCCTCAATATACATACAGAGCGAGGGAAAGAGAAACACAAAAGAGATTTACCCACACAAAAAAAAAAAAAATTATTGATCAACCTTCTTCAAAATCAATTTTCTGATCAATATTTGCACTCTAAGGTAAAAGGAAAGTGAACGTACACCGTACGCAGCCCAAAAATCTTCCCTTGTAGTTATACAAATATATACTCTCTTCAATTCACGCTTCAAACGTGTAACCGAAAATACATATAAACTGCCTATTTATTCAAAGATTGAATGAAAATGGGTTAAAGATTGAATCCTGAGCTGCTTGTCTTGAATTTTGGGGTCGATTATTCAAAAAAATGGCGTGTAATGCTATATCAAATACGCAACAAGAACCGAGCATCGATACAGATAAGTTAAGTTATGAAATTTTCTCTATTTTGGAAAGCAAATTCTTATTCGGTTATGATGATCAAAAGCTTTGGGTACCTAAAGAATTAACTTCTCCGGTTGAAGAGCCCAAAAACGATGACGTTTCAACGATCAAAAATCAACGAGGGAAAATATGCATCCTCAGCATTGATGGTGGCGGAATGCGAAACATATTATCAGGAAAAGCTTTAGCGTATTTGGAACAAGCGTTGAAGGTTAAATCGGGAAATTCACAGGCTCGAATTGCTGATTATTTCGACGTTGCTATTGGTTCCGGTGTCGGAGGAATTTTCACGGCGATGCTTTTTTCTACACAAGATCAAAACCGTCCGGTTTTTCAAGCCGAGGATACGTGGAAGCTTTTGGTTGAACAAGGTAAAAAGATTTACCCTTCGAAAGGGTCAAATAATGCCGGAAATGGTTTTCTCCGTCGAGTTTTTCGCCGCGGAGCCACCGGTTCAGCTTCTTCCGGTTTAGAGAAGGTAATGAAGGAGGCGTTTGTGGATAAACAAACCGGTCGAAGCCTTACGTTAAAGGATACGCTTAAACCGGTTTTAATTCCGGTTTATGACCTGTCAAGTACGGCGCCGTTTTTGTTCTCTAGAGCCGACGCTTTCGAGTCGGAGAGCTTTGATTTCCGGTTATGGGAAGTTTGTAAGGCTACAGCGGCTGAACCGGGAGTTTTCGACCCGGTTTGTATGAAATCAGTCGATGGAAAAACCGGGTGTGTGGCGGTTGACGGTGGTTTGGCTATGAGTAACCCGACGGCGGCGGCGATTACTCACGTGCTTCATAACAAACAGGAGTTTCCTTTTGTTAGAGGAGTTGAGGACATTTTGGTACTTTCGCTCGGAACAGGGCAGCTTTTAGAAGGAAGCTTTGAATATGAACATGTTAAAAAATGGAAGGCTAAGGACTGGGCTAAACCTATGGCTCGCATCTCCGGCGACGGCACCGCCGATATGGTGGATCATTCCGTCGCTATGGCTTTCGGCCAATGTCGTAGCAATAACTACGTCCGCATTCAGGTACTATATTTGCATTAAATCAAATATCAAATAATTTAATTTTAAAATTGCAAGAATGTATGCTTGGATCATTTTTATTTGTCATTTAAGATTTTAATACTCCGAAAACTATTTAATACTTTTTCCTGTCCACTTTAGTTGATTTTTAGTTATTTTCACACATATTAAGGAATTTAATTTTAACATTAATAAATAATAAATATGATCATATTAAACTTAATTTGTTCATTGGAAATATAACAAATACTTCTAGGATCTTTACTCCAAGAGTAACTTGAAAAAAAGAAATTAATTCCTTCTTAATAAATTAAATATTATAGACTACAAGAGAATACCAAAAAAATTATTTAAAATGGACAGGAGAGAGTAAGATTAATCAATATGACTGTTTTACTAAATTAGTATTTTTTATTCAAATTATCCTTTTATCTTTTCTTTGACTTTATAAAAATCATTTTTGGCACGAGAGTATGTTTGAAAAAAAAAATCAACGCCTTCTCGATTTTACTGAATAGTACTACCTCCGGTTCAAAATAAGTGATTTTTTGGTCTTTTTTGTTGTCCAAAATAAGTGATTTTTCCAGATTTCAAGAATAAATTAATTATTTTTTTCCTACATTGCTCTTGGAGTAAATTGTGTTGGAGTATGTGTTAGGAGTATTTATATGAAGAGATAGTAAAAGTTAATTTGGTCAATTTCATTGCTAATTAATGTTAAAAGGTGGATTTCTTAATCTGTGTGAAAACAACTAAAAAATTACTTATTTTGGACTGGAGGGAGTAGTTATTTAAGTTTAGACCAAATTGATTTGACTAAGATGACATATATTCCGGAAAGAAGCAAGTATTAAGTAATTACATTTGGAGATAACAGTTTATTTAAAAAAAAATATATCATACATTTATTGGTTTAACACAAAACACAAATATCTATCAAACATTATAGATTCAGCGAAACCTAGAGATACACTTCAATTTATGTATAGAATGACATGAGATTTAACATATATAGTGGCCTGAAAATGGACAGGCTGGGGAAAGCTGGTGCCTTGGAATTTAACTCATATTTTGGGTGCTCGCAATTTAATTCTTGATACATAATTTTGAGGAATTATAGTTGTCAGTGCAACTAGGGAAAGTTTGTAATGAATGTGGCTACTACAAACAATGTTGTCGTTGCCAAACAACTGGACACAGGATTGATTGATCTTGATTGAATAGTGGAAAAATGTAGTACTCCCTCCGTTTCAATTTATGTGAACCTATTTCCTTTTTGGTCCGTGCCAAAAAGAATGACCCCTTTCCTTATTTAGAAACAATTTACCTTTATGCAATAATTTATAGCCACACAAAATGTATGTGCCTCATTTTACACCACAAGTTCAAAAGTCTTCTCTCTTTTCTTAAACTCCGTGCCCAGTCAAATGGGAGGGAGTAATTGTTAGTAATAGATGGGCTAGTAATAATGATAAAGATTGAATTTATTTTCCACCTTGGAATGAAAAGGGCAGTCCTTTTCTAAAGTCTGGCTGGCACTGGATAATTTGGTACCAGAAATGGATAATATCTGATGCTTGGCTTGTTGCAGAATGATCAATTTTTGCACTCCTTGCCAATTACTACAGTAATAAATGTTCACAGCTGTGATTTTCCATAATTAACTAGGAATGATCATTCATCTTCAGAAAAATTTGGTTAAAAATTTAATATTATCAGTGTATTTAAACATGTAGCATATAACCTAACTACCTAATTTTCTAGAATACCAATTTCACTTATTATGAACGATTACATGTAGTTAGTTTAGGTCATTTTGATAGTATATAACTTCTTTTATATGGACAATGTGTATAAGTTAAACTAACATGGAGTCTAGTTAGTGAGACTTTGTGTTGCTCAAAGTATGGACGATTACAGTTGCACATCTTTCTGCTATTTAGACCTTTTTAATTATTCTCTTGCCCTAATTTTTATCCTTGAGATTACGTTGCTTTTTCTATTATTAGGCCAAAGGTGGGAATTTTACCTTTAAAGATTACTTATTAAGGAAGGTTCTAAAAGATAATGATTCTTACAGGCTTACTATATATAGATTTGTATTGATCGTAAAAATAAGATACGTACTGTCGTGGGGTGGGGAAATTGACCAACGGAATGTGCACTAGAGAATATTATATAGAGAAGCTATAATAAATGGATTGATGACGTGTAATAATCTTCAGTGGAGGATGATTCAGAAGAATAAGGGGATAACTTAAACAAATTTCAGTATGGAACATATTTTATAAATATGTTTCTGTACCAGCTAACCATATGACTTGCTATTTGAGTTCTAAGTTAATATTAACATGCAAATTAGAATAACTTGTTACCTTACAAGTTACAACTATGCAAGTATTACTGTATGATTTCTTAGTACAGTAATTGATTTTAACGTTCTCCATAAGTTTCACGATTCCACTCCATTTTTGGGGTATAACTTATATACTGTAATAAAAACTTTTACTTTCAATTTGATGCAGTGAGTAATTAACACTCTTTATTTTCTTGGTTAGTAATCCCAATTTTATCAATTGTTACTTGCAATTGTCTTTTAGGTGACCTCATACTCTCATAGTATCATTTCTTTTGTATATAAACGTTAACCTCTTATTCTTGACGACAGGCAAATGGATCGAGCTTTGGTCGTTGTGGGGTGAACGTAGATGCTGACTCGAGTCCTAGCAATGTGAAAAAGCTGGTGGGAATTGCAGATGAAATGCTAAAGCAGAAAAATGTAGAATCTGTGCTTTTTGGTGGTAAGAAAATAGGAGAGCAAAGCAATATAGAGAAACTTGAGTGGTTTGCTGGAGAACTTGTAAAAGAGCATCAGAGGAGGAGTTGCAGGATAGCTCCCACTGTTGCATTTAAGCAAGCTGCTTCCTAAACATCTCTCAAACAGTAACTAAGAAAAATAAATAAAACGATTTTAAAAAAATTGGAAAATTTCCTTTCTATCCTATCTCTCCAATTTTTATGATTTGTCGACTGGGGTATATGCAACGTTGGCATAAGTCAGCCTGCACTCATTGCTTTCGACTTGTATTATGTAAATTTAGTTACAATTTATAAAGTATATATATTTATACTAAGTTCCCTTACACTGCGACATAAAAGTAAAAAGTTTATTTTTTTATAGTGGTAGTGTGCGAACCCACTTGCATGTGTTCTGGTTATTTGGACGAATACCTTTTCTGTATCTTCCACTAGTATTGATATCGAGTAATTTCGCACACAAAAGTTTAAGCAGATGAAAAGAAATCTTCTTCATTAAATAGTTACACTGTATAAATAGAATGAAAAAAAAATATCTTTATATACAAATAAATTGTTAAATTTCAGCTTGATTTCCAAGTGTATTACCTCATTGTGTAAGTTCGCATTTTTCTTAATTTTTTTGGCTCCGCCTCCCATATAGTGAGTGTAGTGATTTTAAAATTCTTATTTCACTTCTATGCGTTGAAATAACTTCCGGTTTTGTAATGCGGAGAGCTATATTTTATGTACCAAAGTTTGCTGATGATGTCAACCAGGACCCATTTTGCTTATAATTATATTGGAACATTATGATATGAACAACCAAACCCATTTTTTCTTAACAATAATTCAGGTTTTGTGAATCGAAATCACAAGAAGATTGAGGTGTTGTTTGTTTTTGTCCATCCGTGGGCTCAGTCTTGTCATTTTCTTTTTGTTTATAGAAAGACCAAACTTTTGGTGGTGGTTGTAATAGTTTACGAGAGATGCTTGAAAGAGAGCATTCCCTATTAGTCCACCGACACTTTTGGTTCTCAGACTAGATGGCATTTTAATCATCTTATATTTGATGTTGAAACCCCATATTACTTCTTGTTCTTTTTGGACTGAGAGGTATCATTATCAATGGAACTTTTTATATACGGTGCTGTCTGATGCACTTGACTATTTGGTAGCTGCTACTCTTCACAGTCACAGGTTTAATTAGCATACTAAGATTTAGGTAGACGAGAACAACTCAACTACTGTTTTTTGTCTATGTTGTGATTTGAAAAATAGTTTCTTAGAATTTTCACCCACTTGACTATTTGATAGTTGCTACTCTTCATTTTTTTGTCAAACAATAAAAATTTTATTCAACCAAGTACGAATACGTATATCCGCTAGTTCATTGTTGACTCTAGAACTAGTCCTCATCTTTGTAACTCTCTATTGACACTTCCTTCTATCAGTTGGATTCCATTATAATATATTCCTATACTAAGTTTGGATATGAGTTTATGCTTTCTAATATCCTTTTCCATCTTCTTCTGTGTTGCTACTCTTTACTGTTACAAGTATACGCTATCTATTAAGTTTTGGGGAGATAGAGAAGAAATCAACTACTTTTTATCTCTGTTAAAATTTGACCTTTGATCTCCCATAGTTTTTATGCATTTCATTGATTGCTAAGCCACATTCTTAGATGTTCATCATCATAAAATTAATTTAACTTATATACAATGACTGTATAAAGAAATTTATAATGTATTTTAATTGGTTATAATTTACTGTATTTACTGTGTAATCAAACTAAATTCGTAATCTCAAAAAATAAAAGGACTCTGTTTCTCTCTCGGCGCATGTTAACTAAACGTGCGCATCCATGGGGAAGAGGACTCGGATTCCTACTCAGAAGATGATCGAAGCAAGAGAATCATGTAAACAAGCAACAAATCCGACGAAGAAGCGAGGAAATCAAGTAAATCATGAAGTAATGGAGAATTGCAGTAACGGTCAAAACCTAAAAATGGCGACCAAGGAAGTTGAAATTGAGCAAGTTCGAGGCAAGGAAAAGGAAGATAATCAACAAGAAACGACATGCAGAGTTGAATTACCATCACAATTGGAGATTGATTCAGCAATTGAAGCAATCTCCAATGGAACAGTAATGGCAAGCTCCAATGGAACAGTAATGGCGGAGAAAAATGAAGCTGTTGGAAAAGTGGAAAAATTGAAAACGATTGTGCAGGAATGGGAGGAAGGAATACAGATACAACAATCTGGGAGAAATCATGTGCGAAACAACACTGGCAGGAAATCATGGGCAGATGAAGCTGAAGAAGTAATAGAAACTAGGGCTAAGAAATCAATTTGGGAAAACTTTGATATCACAAAAGTTGCGAATGCTGGCTTCAAACTGGAATATGTGAATCCAAGTAAGCATGGAGATACAACAATTTGTGAGATCGAACTGGAGGATATTACTTCTGAAATCGATTTATGAAAAAATACCATTGTCTGTTATGTGCTGGGAGCACACCCTCCTTTCAATGTGCTTAACAGTTACATACAAAGACAATGGGGTAAACATGGCATCAATAAGGTCTCAATGCTGAAAAATGGGATAGTTTTGGTGAGGTTTGACAATGTGATTGGGAAAGATGAGGTGCTGCAGCGAGGGATCTATCATTTTGACAATAAGCCATTTATTGTCAAGGAATGGCATAAGGATATGGAGTTTACCAGGGAGGAACTCTATACTGTCCCAATTTGGGTGAAACTACCTGGATTGGATTTCAAGTATTGGGGACCTAAAGGGCTTAGCAAGATAGGAAGCATGATAGGCAAGCCTTTTATGGTGGACAGGAATACAAAGAACAAGATAGGTCTCAATTTTGCTAGACTCCTTATTGAGGTAGATGTGGATTCTCCCCTGCCTGACAAGGTGCAATTCAGGAATGAAAAAGGTGCTTTGATTGAATAGAGAATCTAATATGAGTGGAAGCCAGTTCTATGTAAATATTGTCACAAGTATGGTCACTTAGAGGAAGATTGTAGAAGGAAGAAGCAAACAACCCCTCCTATGCAACAAACTGTTGAGCCAGAAGGAAAAAACACAAACAAAGAGAAGGAAGAGAACAAAGTAGAAGCAGTAACAAGAGTTAAGATCACAAAGCCAGTAGGGGAGAAGGAGCCAACAAAAACTATAGGAGGAAAGATGAATACAGAAGGATGGGTGACACCTCATAACACAAGGAAGTCTCCTAAGGAAAAAATACAACATTCTTCAGCTGGACACAACACTTTCAGTGTGCTAAGTGAGAGCAGTACAAGTAGACAATCACAAAGCAGACAAGTCTCAAATGGGGGAGGCACTGTCCTATCTCTAAAAGGTCATGGATAGCATGCTAAGCTGGAATGTTAGGGGCTTAAATGCTCCTAACAAATAAAAGGAGGTAAAACTCCTTTGTACTAATGAAAATATAGGTTTAATAAATTTACTAGAGACTAAGGTGAAAACTGGCAATATGGAGAGAGTAATAAACAATATGTTTGGAGGTTGGAAGTACATTACAAATCTGGAACACCATTACAATGGTCGAGTAGTTGTAGCATGGAGACCTGATTACTATCAAGTCAGGTACATAAATGGTACTGCCCAAAGTATAACATGCCTAGTTACAGATGTTGTTCTGCAGAAGGAGTTTTATATGACAACTGTGTACGCTTTTAATACAAGGGATGAAAGAAGAAGTTTATGGCAACACTTAGAAAGTATTAGTGGAGGAATAAAGCAACCATGGTTGGTAACAGGGTATTTCAACTCTGTCCTGCAAGCAGATGATAGAATAGGAGGAAATCCAGTTACTATGGGAGAAGTGGTGGATTTCCAAGAGTGTATTGACTCTTGTGAACTCATGGAGTTACCATGCGGAGGTTGTAGATACAAATGGAATGACAAACATGGTGATAATAAAGTTTTTTCAAAAATTGACTGGGCTTTTGTCAATAGAGAGTGGCTGGATCATATGCCAGTGGTTCAGGCTACATATCTAGTGGAGGGAATAAGTGATCACTGTCCACTGAGAATAAGTAAAGATACAGGAGGGGGGAAGAGGGCTAGAGCTTTTAAATTCTATAATGTGTGGGCTTTACACCCTCAGTTTAAAGAGGTTGTAATACAAGGATGGCAACAACAAGTAGCAAGATACAGTATGTTTCAAGTTGTTAAGAAACTGAAGTTACTAAAGAAGGCACTGAAGAAGCTCAATCAACAGACTTCAGGAATATCTTAACAGAGGCTGAGGAAGATAGGGCAGCTTTAAACCAAGTCCAGAATAGATTGCATTCTGACCCCTGTAATAAAGCTTTACAAGAACAGGAGATAGCCATGCATCAGAAATTCTGGAATTCCTCTTATCTAGCTGAAATATTTTTATTACAAAGGAGCAAAGCAAGCTGGATTAAGCTAGGAGATGACAACACTAGGTATTTCTACTCAGTAATCAAGCACAAAAGACTGCAACAAGCCATCACACAGATCAAGGATCAACATGGGGAATTAGCAACAGATAATGCAAGCATAGCAAATGTTCTGGTAGAATACTATGAAACTATGCTAGGAAGGGAAGGAAGAAGAAGATCTAAAGCATGTCATAGCTTTCTGAAGAATGGAACTACTCTGAATTCTACACAGCAGATGGAACTCATACAACCATTCACAGTCAAGGAAGTGAAACATGCTATGTTCAGTATAGATGTGGACAAAAGTCCAGGTCTAGATGGTTATGGAAATGATTTCTACAGGGAGGCTTGGAGTATCATTGGTAATGATGTTACTCCAGCAATATTGGAATTCATGGAGAATGGAAAACTGTTAAGGCAAGTCAACTCAACAGTAATATCTTTGATTCCCAAAGTCCCAGTCCCAGAGTTTGCAAGTCAATTCAGACCAATTTCTTGCTGTAATGTCATATACAAATGCATTTCCAAGATGCTGTGCAAGAGGCTCAAGAAAGCTGTATCAATACTAGTAGCTGAGAACCAAGCAGCTTTTGTTGAAGGTAGATCTTTGATTCATAATGTCCTTATCTGCCATGATTTACTGAGACACTATAATAGGGAAAACATCTCCTAGGTACCTTATGAAAATTGATTTGAGAAAGGCTTATGATATGATCAACTAGGATTTCATAGAGGAAGCTCTGAAAGGATTTGGATTTCCAGATTCATCCACTAAACTGGTGATGACTTGTGTGACTACCACACAGTTCTCTATAAGAATTAATGGAGAAAACCATGGTTATTTTGAAGGCAGGAGGGGGCTTAGGCAAGGGGATCCTATCTCACCCCTATTATTTGTTGTAG